CCCTCTCCCTCTCACATCACCCCTCCTCTCATCATCACCCCCGTCCCTCACACTATCACCACTCCTCACATCATCCCCCCTCATCATCACCCTCCTCCGTCATGCCATCACCCCCCTCACCTCACATCACCTCCCCTCACATCACCTCCCTCTCATCATCACTCCCCCTCTCTCACACATCATGCCCCTTCCTCTCATCATCACCCCCCTCACATCACCCCTCCCTCTTATCATCACCCCCATTTCCTCACACATCCCCCTATCATTATCACCCCCCTTCCGCTCAACATAACCCCTCCTCCCTCCACCATCCACACCCCCACACATCACCCCCCCTCACATCCATCACCAAAATATAGGATCCACTCCGGGTGCCAAATGCTCAAGGTATGCCCCTGCAAATGGGGATTAACAGGTGGAGAGACACACATGGGTATTAACAGGTGAAGAGACTCAGATGGGGATTTGGACAGGAAGAGAGAGACACAGATAGTGGTTTGCACATGAGGATAGACAGAAATTGAGGTTTGCCAAGTACGAGAGAGGTAGATTGTGTTTGCCAGAGGAGGAGAGATGCAGATGGGGGTTTATAAAAGACAAAAGATACAGCCTGCAAATTACATTACTGAATTCAAGGAAAACCACAGTTGATTTTTGATGTGGAATCAATTAATTAATTGATTATCTTGTGTATCTGCTCCCGGCCAAATTTAAAAAGATGCGTGCATGCTCCTGAAGTAATTCACACCAGACACAGGTCTCGGGTTAATGAAAAACTTGAGGAATGTTTATTCTGGGGGGACGGCATACCCCTTATAAAGCAAAATGACATCAAATGCATTGTCAGAGATAACATGGAATAATGCATCAATAATTGGTTAGGTGTTAAGTGGTTCATTTAGTGCTCTTCCTACCGGGTGTGATGTCACTGGTATCTTGGAGGTCTCCCCCAGATTCCAGCGCCATCTTGTGAATGAGGGTGTTAGTCGATGTCAAAGGGAAATTCCATAGCGGCCATTTTAGGTAAATCACATATAAGGTTGAATAATGCTGATTGTGGTTATGCTGAGTAAATAGGCATTTTATTAACATGAATTGGGTTATATTTTTGTCCACAACATTTTTTTCCCAACTATTTAGTAGGTATACATCCTCACACAAAAAATAATCCTGTATTGTTTTTCTGCACAGCTGCAGACTTGCTGTCTGTAGACTTTGCAAGTCATCCCCTTTTTCCCAGGCACAGACATTGTCTGTTTTGGGAAATACTCCACTTAGAAACCTCTTTGCTGGAACCACATGGGCAGTTGCACATGATCATGGCTTTCCAATGCTTCTCAACGAGCTATATCACGGCGCATTGAGAAGGAGGTACAGAAGGCATGCTCAGTTGAGCGAAGTGAAGCGGAAGAACATTTCCTGGTTGTATGAGCTACAGCTGGGAGGCGTTTTAGCAACCACTTGTAAAAGTGCCAATTTTAACTGAAATCTGTACTTTTAGAAACTTTTTTTTTTTAAATAGCAAACTCCTGACACATAAAAACACTTTGGTATTGCATTATGAGTATGTAGTGTGCCTATAACATACCATATAAAATTCACCTCTACATACTTACATACACAAATGCATTCACACAAAGCAACATCAAAAGTAAATTGCTAAATTCAAGCCATAAATAGTCATATTAGGGCTATAGCACAACTGGAGAATTTTTCCAAATTCACTTTGGCCTTAACTTTGTATTTTGGTATTTGATGAAATTCTCAGCGTAGGCACAGCTTGGCTATCCGATCCTACATTTTGCAATTTGGATTGTTATTCATTACAATTTGTTATTAGGTGCTCACTCCTAATAACCTGCTGCTGGGTCCATTGGTTGAACACTCAGAAGGGCAGTCCAATCTCTCCAAACTGCAGAGCAATACCTCTATACAGCAGAATCAAACTGTATTTTTTTTTCTTGTGATTTACAGCATTTTCCCTTTACCAGTTTTTTTTTTTTTTTACTCTTCTGTCAGTCTGTGTGATTTATATACTATGATGTCATATCGTGTGATGTCACGCATATATAATTAATTATTAAAATTAGCATGACCAGTGTGTTTTTCCAAGAAGGATGGCAACCCTGTTCGAAGATAACATCTGAAACTGAAAACAGTAAGTAATTGTGTTGTTACATTTGTTTGTTTCTTTAATTTATTTAAACACTGCTTTTATTTACTATGTAAGTCAGGATCAGAAAAAGTGAGTCAAAAAGCATCAAGAAAAAAAATGCATTACTTTTTTAACAATCAATAGCAGAATATATATATATATAATATTTATTTGGCAAATTCTTCAAGATTTACAAAAAACAAGGTACAATGGACAAATTTAATTCCACACTAAGCAAAAAGTAAGAAATTAAACAGAAAGTAATAAAATAAATTCAAATAAAGTGCTCAAGATTACTCATAGACTCACCATGGCCATATCAAAACAAAAAACTCTGTAGTTATTTAGGTAGTACAAGGATAGAAAACAAAAGTGGGAGAGAAAAGGAAGAGAAGGGATATAAGAGAGAAGAGAAAGATGCGTGAATGCGTTACCACCTCAGGCTTGGATGTTCGTTTACTCCTAGGAAATCATCAGCTGGACAATGGACTATTAAGAGGCCCCAAAAGGAGCCTCAAACTCAGAATCTGATGGTCTTGCTACATAGGCCATCCATGGGCACCAGGTCTTCAGATCCTTAGAAGGACAGAACCTATTAGTAATTAATAATATAACCAATTAATTATACAGAAATCCCCTATTTCAAATCTTTAAAAAGGTTTCAGAATAATTGATGATGTACAAATATTACTTTTACATTTAAATACATTTTTGCACACATCTGTTATTTAAAAAAAACAAAACACAAATATAGATACCTTGAAGAATTGCCACGTTTTAATTTTAAAAGAGGTCTACTATAGGTGTTTTTAAAGGAACACTATAGCTTTAAGAATGCAAACCGTCAGTCACACAAACATACACACATACAGGCAGACAGTCACATACATACATACAGCCACACACACAGTTACAGGCAAACACGTTCACAGTTACGGACAGTCACACACACAGTAACAGGCAAAAACGTTCACAGTTACGGACAGTCATACACACAGTTAAAGGCAGTCAGTCTAAAGACAGAAAGGCACACACATACACACTGTCACAGGAAGACAGTCACACACACACTTACAGGGAGAAAGTTAAACACACAGTTACAGGCAGACACACACAGTTGCAGGCACACAGGTACACACTTACAATTACAGGCACACACACACACACAGTTACAGGCAGACACACACACAGTTACAGATAGTTGCAGACAAATACACATTTTCTGACAGTCACACACACACATTTACAGGCAGACAGCCACACAGACAGTTACAGGTAGACAGTCTCACACTCACACACAGTTACAGACAGTCACACACACACACAAACACAGTTTTAGACAGTCACACACAGTTACAGACAGACAGTAACACAATACAGTTACAGGCAGACACACAGTAAAAGATAGATGCAGACAGACACACATTTTTTGACAGTCACACACCCTTTTACAGGCAGACAGCCACACACACAGTTACAGGCAGACAGTCTCACACTCACACACAGTTACAGACAGTCACACACACACACACACACACTTTCAGACAGTCACATACCTACTGTTTCAGACAGTCACACACACAGCTACAGACATTCACAGGCAGTCACACACATGCACACAGTTACAGAGAGACACACATACAGGCAGACAGATGCACACACACACAGGTACAGGCATGCATACATACAAGTACAGGAGGACAAACACAGGCAGATAGACACACAGGTATAGGAGGACAAACACACAGACACAGGCAAACAATTACCTCTTTCCATTATGGGCTGGACAGGTGGAGCACAAGCACTGCAGCCTCTAATGTCTAGTTTTTGAGAACGTAGGGATCCATCCTGTTTCCCGCTCAGTGTGCAGAAGTTACAGGTAGCAGCTTCAGGCCACATTTAGCTCTGCCCCCACTGCCCATTTAGCTCCACCCTGTCGCTCCCCCTGCTGCCTTATGTTCTCTGATAGAACCTGGGGAGAGAAATGAAATCCTCCACCTGGGAGCTACACGGCCTTGTTGCATAGCGCAACTTGCTTTATAGGAGTGCTCTGTGTACCCCCTCACACCTGTCATCCAGAGCATTTGTGAGCTATGTGGGCTGCCCGGCACCCCTGCTGCTATGGCATCCTATGCGGCTGCACAGCTCACACACACCCAATGGCAGCCCTGATTGTATGGGTACCTCTGTATTGCACCTGGTTCTGTGGATTGTGTGTGTACTAATTTCTGTGTATTGTATAAGTATCTCTGTATTGTATCTACCTTTGAGTATTTTATTGTCATCTCTATATTATAACTGGCTTTGAGCATTGTATGGATAACTCTGTATTAAATAGGGAGGGACTACCACAGGGGGTTGAGTACATGAGGATAAGCGGACAAATTCCACAAATCAAATATATTAGAGTTATGGGTGGCGTCAATTTCTGGAGGGGGAGTCTGATGCCTCATTATCTTAAGACATGACCCGCTTCGCAAATTATAGACAAATGCATACCACTGGCATCCTATTCGGAAGCACCTATACCATCCCTAGACTGTGCTTCAAAGTGAGATTAGTCCAGATAGTTCTTTCCCAAAGTACAAATAAGTGGCGGCAGATCTCTTGCCTCTGGAGCTATTCTGAGGTAGCCCCTTAGTGGAAAACAGTAAATTTATTTACTTAGATCTCAGCTTAACTTTAATCCCAGAATGAGCATTATTTGTTAGTTTTGTGAAGTCCAATTAAACCCTTAAGGGGGGCGTGTCCGGCACCAAGATAGACGTGTGAACCCAGAGCTCCACGTGGCGCCCGCACAAAAAACGCCAGCATCCTGCTAATCCTGCTTGTCCACACACAGTAAATGGGCTGCACAAAGAAGCCAACTGACACAGGAGGCACCCCGAGACCCGCGGGCCCCGGGGGGGACCACACAATCAGATCCTACCTTCACTCCACGGCCCGCGCACGATCGCCGCAACCGGAAATGGAGGCCGCAAACCAAGCACCGGACTCCACTCCATCCACACCGGCCAGGCACTTACCAGCCCAGTCCCTTGCTTTAGAACCACAGATGCAGCCTGAAGATGGGTGGAGAGAGATACTGCCCAACCTCCTCACAAAAGCAGACTTTGAGGCCCTCTCTGATCGCCTGGGTCGTGTGGTACGTGAGGAGGTGGCCCAACTCCGCGCAGACCTAGCAAATGTGGAGGCTCGCATGACCGTGGCGGAGGCGGAGACCAAGGCCCTCCGGACAGACCTGGAGCACACCAATACGACAGTCACAGGCCAAGAAGCAGACATGGCCTACCTCACCACATGGATAGATGACCCAGACAACCGCGGCCGCAGGCTGAACCTTCGTGTCCGCGGGGTAAGAGAGGGAGGCCCGTCTGAGAATATCCCTGAAGCGCTGAGCAAATATTCACACAGGTACTGGGGGGTCAGCACATACCCAGAATAGGCCTAGTCAGGGCACACAGAGCTCTGAGACCCTTGCCAGCCCCAGAAGACCAACCCAGGGATATTATATGCTGTCTAGATAATTATCAGCTGAAGGAAGAAATATTACGCATGGCCCGCCGCATGGGAACCCTACGCCTAAAGGGGCAAAGTATAACCATCTATCAAGATTTGTCCCGTTATACGCTACAAGCAAGAAGAGCCTTACGCCCGGTGACCTCGGCCCTGCAACAAGCAGGAATCCCGTACCGTTGGGGATACCCATTTTCCCTGACAGCCAGACACGGCCCAGACCAGCTGACAATAAGAAAAGCCAGAAGAAGTCCCAAGCTTCCTGCGCACCTTAGGCCTCCCGCCGGTACAAGTACCCAACTGGCTGGCGAGGTCATTCCTCCAGCAACCACCAGGACCGCAGCAACCACGCAGACCAGATCAAGACCTCCAAAGGCCCCAGCACCAATGCCACTGTGACTGGAACCAGGGCCAAGCAAGGCGTGAGCGGTAAACAGACCACCACACAGCCTGGGGGGACCCACAGGCCACAGCGAGACCACACCGAACTGTGAGTAACAACTAAGGGGACATACACAAGTACAACCACCAAGCGCGAAGGTTTGGGGAGGGGTAACCAGGGGGACTGAGGGGACTAATGCATTATTCCCCACGCAACAAAAGGGAACATTTACCAGAAGAGGGGGAACTGGACAATTGGGGAGGGGAACGGGCAAACAGGCCAGAACAGGGGGCCAGCAAGAATGTATGCGAACACGCTCACAACGCCCAAGCGCTACAACTTTGCACGACACAATGACAGCAATCTGCAAGGATACAAAACTACACTCATAGCTATGCCACACAAGAGAAGGGAAAGAAGGGAAAAAGGGAAGGGAAGGGAAGGGAGGGACGGGCACAAGTTAAGAGAGATGTGAGTGAGAGAACAGGCGACAGAACACACAATGTGGGCAAGGAAGCTAAAGGATAGCTTAGCGAGTAAAGGGAGGAGGTTGTGAAAGAAGGAGGAAGGGAAAAGAGAGGAGGGGGGAAAGGTGGGCGGAAAGACGGGGGGAGGAAGGAAGAAGAGAGGGAGGGGGAGGGGAGGGGGGAACAGAAAAGGGGGGGGAACACAACTATCTATACACCCACCCCAGGGCGCTCCAAGATAGCTCGATTAGGGAAGGCAGGGACGGGATGAAGAGTCACAGGCAGCACGAACATATGTAGAGAAGTGAGAACATACAAAATGGAAAGCCATCTGGGGGATTTAACTATTACCTGCTATGTGCGCTATGACTACTGTATGTAATATTGAACACGCAATACACTCCCCACGTGCACACTGCATCTAAACACACCCAGACACGGCGCCAGCCAAACCCTTAGGCCAGCGCTCACCCACGCATGAGACACAGGACCACTGTATGATAAGGTAAAAAGACACAATGGGTTACCGCAGAGAGCTGTACCAGACTCGGCAGTAGCCAGCAGCAGGCAGAGCCGGCTTGGACACACAGCCGACACCCCCAAGGACCAGGACACACGACCCCCATCCCATACAGACAACTACAAGCTCAGCATCCCAGTGTGAGTGTGGGCAATGTGTGTGTATGGGATGGCAGTGTAAGGGGGCAGTGTGTGTATGGGGAGCAGTGTGTGTGTATGGGGGTAGTGTAGAGTGTGTGTGTGTGTATGAGGGGCAGTGTGTGTGTGTGGGGGCAGTGTGAGTGTATGGGGGCAGTGTGAGTGTATAGGGTGTGTGTGTGTATGGGGGGCAGTGTGTGTGTATGGGGGCAGTGGGTGTGTATAGGGGGCAGTGTGAGTGTATGAGGGCAGTGTATGTGTATAGGCAGTGTGTGTGTGTATGGGGGCAGTGTGTGTGTAGGGGCAGTGTGTGTATGGGGGCAGTGTGTGTGTATGGGGGGCAGTGTATAGGGGCAGTGTGTGTGTATGGGGGCAGTGTGTGTGTGTGGGGCAGTGTGAGTGTAGGGCAGTGTGTGTGTGTGTATAGGGGGCAGTGTGTGTGTATAGGGGTGTGTGTGTGTATAGGGCAGTGTGTGTGTGTGTGTGTGTATGGGGGCAGTGTGTGTGTGTATGGGGGGCAGTGTAGTGTGGGGCAGTGTGTGTGTGTAGGGGCAGTGTGTGGGGGCAGTGTGTGTATAGGGACAGTGTGGTGTGTAGTGTGAGTGTATGGGGGCAGTGTAAGTGTAAGTGTGTGTGTGAGGGCAGTGTGTGTGTGTATGGGGCAGTGTGTGTGAGGCAGTGTGTGGGGGGCAGTGTGTGTGTATGGGGGGCAGTGTGAGTGTATAGGGGGGCAGTGTGAGTGTATGGGGGGCAGTGTGTGTGTGTATATGGGGGCAGTGGTGTGTGTATGGGGGCAGTGGGTGTGTATGGGGGGCAGTGTGTGTGTATGGGGGCAGTGTGTGTGTGTGATAAGGGTGGGGGGGGCTTTTTTAAATATTTATATATATATATTTTTTATTTAAATAAATATTCTATATCCCCCCCTCACCTTTATGGAGGAGGAGGGGGGTCATATTTCGATCCCTGGTGGTCCGGTGGGGGATTCATGTGGGGAGAGTGAACTCTAGCCCGCGTGCCAGGGCTAGAATTCACTCTCGCGAGATTTGGAGCGTTGCTGTGGTAACCGTGGCAACCCTCCAAATCTCGAGAGAGGAGGACCCGGAGGAGCTGCAGGCTGAGCTCCCGGGTCCTCTCTCCTCCCTCTCCCTCCCCTGCCGTCTGCCAGCATGGTGCCAGCGGACCGGGGAGGGAGATCAGAGATCTCGGTCCGCAGGCACATAGCAGGGCTAGCACCTGCATGTCCTGGCAGGGGAGAGGGAGACCGGAGGATTTCTCGGGGGGGCAATTGCCCCGTTGCCCCCCCCCTGGATCCGCCACTGGGCGTCGGTAGCCTTCCTGCAGGAAACCCACTTTCAAGAGGGCAGAGCACCGGCCCTGAAAGACCGCAACTTCCAAACGGGATACTTCAGCAACAACCCTGACAGACGCACACAGGGAGTAGGCATTCTTTTCTCCAGACTCATCCCCTATACAGAGAAAGTTACCATCAGATGCAACCAAGGTAGGTACATATTCACCAAAGGCACAATTCTGGACCAAACATTCACATTCGCCAACGTGTATGCCCCGAACACAAAACAACACCAATTCCTTGGATGTGTACTTAATACCCTGACGAAGTTCACGGAAGGCACCCTAATAATTGGAGGAGACCTGAACCTGGCACTACACCCAGACCAAGATTCCTCATCCTCACAAAGCACAACCCCACACAACAGATACACAAAGACACTGCGCCTCCTCCACCGCCACCAATTAGCAGACTGCTGGCGGGCTCGCGATTACACCTTCTACTCAACGGCCCACTCAACATACACAAGGCTCGACTACTTCCTCACACCACATAAAAACCTGACGCTGCTCACCACCGCAGAGATCCTACCAATGACCTGGTCAGACCATTGCCCGATCCGCATACGGATGAAGTCACCGCTGTTCAGACCCAGACAAATGTTGTGGCGGCTAAACGAATTGCTCCTATCCGACACGACAGTGGTAGATAAAATCAGCCACTCCATACGAACATACTTTGAGGAAAATGAAACGGATGACGTGACGCCACTAACCTGCTGGGAGGCACACAAAACGGTGATACGCTATTGGACCTAGTGTCCAAACGGGATCAGCTCACCACACACCTCAACGCTCATACCAACACTACAAACACATGATACATGAACACGGAGACAAATGCGGGAGACTGCTAGCAAACCTCCTCAAACAACGCAAAATCCAACTCTACATCCCAAAAATCAAAGACACACGGCAGCAACTCAGACACCAGCCAGACCAGATATCCACAGCGTTCCGAGCCTACTACCAGAACCTATATAACCTCCGTCGAGAAGCCCCGGGAGCTCCACGGACTAACATAATTGAAAACATCCGGGACTACTTGGACGCCGCGAACGTGCCTGAAATAGGTGACATAGACCGAGGGGCACCCATAACACCAGAGGAGATAGCATACGCCATCAAGAGAGCAAAAACAGGCAGAGCACCAGGACCAGACGGCCTCCCCCTCCAGTATTACAAGAGGTTCACACAAGATACGAAACTCCTAATGGCACTTAATTCCATCCAAGACGGGGCCATATCGATGGCCCAATTCACTTCGGCTAACATCACCCTACTCCCGAAGGAGGGGAAAGACCCAACACTGTGCCCTAGCTACCGCCCGATATCCGTGCTAAACACGGACCTTAAACTCCTGGCGAGTATTCTCGCGACCCGACTGGCGCCGCTGCTACCTGCATCAATCCACTCAGACCAAACAGGATTCATCCCAGGCAGGGAGGTGAGGGACAACAACATCAGAGCCCTGAACATCATAGCCCACGCCAAAAAAGACACCGGTACTACTCCTGTCAACTGACGCAGAAAAAGCGTTCAACAGATTGAACTGGGAACTGATGTTCAAAACTCTCCGACAATTCGACGTAGGGGCAAAATACCTCACCTGGGTGACGGCGCTATACACAAACCCAACAGCACAGATCAGGATCAACGGCACACTATCGGATCTGTTCCAGATCCACAACGGAACCAGACAAGGCTGCCCACTCTCGCCCTTGCTGTTTGCACCGACACTGGGCCCTTCATCATTAAGATCCAACGGAATACAGACATACAAGGAATGAGGATCGGAAACTCGCACCATAAAATCCTGGCATACGCATATGACCTTTTGTTCGTGGTTACAAACCCGGAGACCTCCCTCTGGGCAATACAGACAGAATTCGAACTATATGGCCGACTTTCGAACCTCCAGATAAATCACTCGAAATCGGAGATCCTGAACCTGAACGTCAACCACGCACTTAGAAAAACGATCCAGAGACAACACCCATACCGTTGGTGCGAGCACCGAATGAGATACCTAGGGGTCTGGCTTACACCCAACCCAGCAGTCCTATACACGCA